GAGTGAGACAGGTCAGAGGGGGTGAGACAGGTCAGATGGGGTGAGACAGGTCAGAGGGGGTGAGACAGGTCAGAGAGGGTGAGACAGGTCAGAGAGGGTGAGACAGGTCAGAGAGGTGAGACAGGCCGGGGGTGAGACAGGTCAGAAGTGGGTCAGACAGGGTGATACAGGTCAGAGGGTGAGACAGGTCAGAGGGTGAGACAGGTCAGAGGGTGAGACAGGTCAGAGAGGGTGAGACAGGTCAGAGAGGGTGAGACAGGTCAGAGAGGTGAGACAGGCCAGAAGTGGGTCAGACAGGGTGAGACAGGTCAGAGGGTGAGACAGGTCAGAGGGTGAGACAGGTCAGAGGGTGAGACAGGTCAGACTCTTGGTACCTTGACAGAATAGGCCAGAGAGATGGTGACGGCGAGCGGCAGCCCCTCAGGAACAGCCACCACCAGCACCGTCACACCGATAATGAAGAACTTTACAAAGTACTGAATGTAAATGGGCGTGCACTCAGCCAACCACTGACGACCCTGGACCCCAAAGGTGTCAATCACAAAGTACAGGATGAGGATGATGACGGTGAGAGCGGACATAAACAAACCTGAGGAAGAAAAACACAAGTTCAGCTAAAACAACAAGTCTGTCTCACTGATTTATGGTTCCAAATGTTTGTTAGAAATAATAGAAAAAAATAATAACAATAATAACAATATATTATTATTATTATTATTATTATTATTATTATTATTATTATTATTATCATTGTAAATTTTAAAGTGATAAACACAATTAGATGTTTTATTTTCTTCAGTCACAAACAGATGAAATCACACACACTGTGTCTGTAAATAAAGAACATCCAGTGCTTTAGTCTGAATTTTGTTTCTATCAAGTTATGAAGAGTGTTTTATTTCTGAGACTTCTGAGACTCCGCCCCCACATAAATCCCAGAGTGCATTAGGGTCAATTGAAACGACAAAAAAAAACCACCTTCGATTCCAGAACGACTCGTTTCCAATAAAAACAGTCCATCTAATAAAGTAAAGTGCATTTTGACCCCGGGGCTGTCCGTCCCGTCGCCTCCTGATCACTCTGAGATATTAAAGGAACAGTTCCACATTTCTGTCAAAGCTAAGGTCACATGATGTTTGCAGTGGGACGGTCCCAGAGACGATGCATTCACCACAATAAATCAGAGCTGAACATTGCAGCACTTTACCCCCTCAGCCCAGGTGTGTGTCACTCACCAGCCTTTCCAATCTGCACAGCCAGCCTGGTGAGTTTGCCCTGCAGCACAGACTTCTCCTTCTTGGTGACGTTGACCTTCTTCACCTGTTTGACCTCCTCCTTCTCCTCAGACTCGGCAGCCTCCTCGCTCTTCAGAGGCTGGATCTCCAGAGCGATGCCGTCCTGGGTCTTGGCTGGTCGAGGGGGAGGGGGGGTTAGGGTGACAATGAGTGAGGAGAAGGAAACAGAGTGACCACAGATGAGGAGGTGCAGGTGTGGGTGAGGAGGGGATGAAGATGGGTAGGGAGAATGTTTGTGGTTAGGATCAGGAAGATCGGTAAATAAAAAAATAAATGAAATAATCAGGAGACGGAGGAGAGGCGAGGTTCAGGAGTGGTTTGGAAGTAAAGGAAGAGAGGTAGAAAACAACGTTACACATTCAGTTACGTCTAAACATCAGCCGGATGAGTTTTCTCACAGATACACCAGCTGCTTGACACTGAGTCAGGACAGTCGTCTCATTGGCTGAATGCAGAAAAAACTGCTGACTCATGGTTTTACAATCACACACCAGGTCACTTTAGAGTCAGAAATCATTTAGGAGCATTTATTAATGAGGAGCAGCGACAGGACAGGGGTGAGCAGAACCACACAGAACCACACAGAGCTCAGAGTTCTGACGACCCAGTTTCACATCCAGCTCAGTGGCTCTGCAGCTTATTTCAATAAACAAACTCTGCATTTGCCTTTGAAGTCAGCTGTGATCCTGTTAGAACTGGAGTGGTGCACATGGAGCTTCTGGATCAGAACTTCATCCTCTGCTCTTTGTTAGTTATGAGACACAATCTGCAAACAGATGGACTCTGACACCCTCCAGTCTGCCTTCTGTCCCCTGTTCAACTCTTCTGATCTGACTTTGATTTATTAGCTTTGATTTAACCAGACAAACCCCACTGAGATCACTGAGATCTGAGATCACAGATCATTAAGATCACAGATCAGAGATCACTGTGATAAGAGACCACTGATCACTAAGATCACAGATCAGAGATCCCTGAGATATGAGATCAGAAATCACTGAGATCATTGAGATCACAGCGATCACAGATCAGAGATTACTGAGATCACAGATCACTGAGATCACTGAGATCACTGAGATCAGAGATCACAGATCATTAAGATCACAGATCAGAGATCACTGAGATCAGAGATCAATGAGATCACTGAGATCAGAGATCATTAAGATCACAGATCAGAGATCACTGAGATCAGAGATCACTGAGATCTGAGATCACTGAGATCTGAGATCAGAGATCANGAGATCACTGAGATCGCTGCGATATGAGATCAGAAATCACTGAGATCATTGAGATCAGAGCGATCACAGATCAGAGATTACTGAGATCTGAGAGACCACCGAGATCACAGCTTTCACAGATCACTGAGATAACAGATCATAGATCACTGAGATCACAGATCACTGAAATCAGAGATCACAGATCTGAGATCAATGAGATTCCTGAGATCTGAGAGATCATAGATTACTGATCATTAAGATCACAGATCACTGAGATCACAGATCACTGATCATTAAGATCATCGATCAGAGATCATTGAGATCTGAGATCACTGAGTTCCCTGAGATACGAGATCAGAAATCACTGAGATCATTGAGATCACTGAGATCAGAGATCACAGATCTGAGATCAATGAGATCTGAGATCATTGAGATTCCTGAGATCTGAGAGATCATAGATCACTGATCATTAAGATCAGCGATCAGATCACTGAGATCTGAGATCACTGAGTTCCCTGAGATACGAGATCAGAAATCACTGAGATCATTGAGATCACTGAGATCACAGATCACTGAGATCAGTAGATCACAGAAATCAGACATCAAAGATCACAGATCATTTTGATCATAGAGATCAAAGAAATCAGTGAGATCACAGATCACTGAGATAATTGAGATCATTGATCAAAGACATCAGAGATCACTGAGATCAGATCACTGAGATCTCACTGAACAGAGATCACAGATCAAAGAGATCACAGAGATCACAGATCAAAGAGATTATTGAGATCAGAGATCAAAGACATCAGAGATCACAAATCAAAGAGATCACAGAGATCACGGAGGCTTGGTCTGAAGGAATGCATATTTTTCTGTCTGTTGGAGGAAACCGGAGTAGCCAGAGAAAACCCACACAAACACAGGGAGAACATGTAAACTCCACACAGAAAGACTCCAGGTCCGGACCAGGGATTGAACCCAGGACCATCTTGCTGTGAGGCGTCATTGCTAACCACTGAGCCATCGTGCTGTCTAACCATGTAAACAATGACAATTCTGTTGTCGTATCAGTAATTTATGACCAATTAGACAAATGTGTTCACTGTGTATTTTTTTGTGTGTATCACATTTGGAAGCAGCAACATGTTCAGATAATGCTAAGAAAAGTTTGTTTTTCTGGATTATCAAATGTTTCCTCAGAAGACTAAAAAGTAAAGAAAACTTTATATAAAAGTGCTTAAATAAAGTTTGTAGGGCTCCAGTTCCTTGTGTAACTGAATTAAACAATGAACTCTGTTCAAATTAAACACGTTTAATAAAAACAATTAAAAATAAATCTAAAGTAAAACTCACTAAAATTGTGTGAATGGGTGAATAAATGTTGTATAAAGAGCTTCGGAGTCTGAAGGGACTTCATCAGGCGGTATACAAGTTCAGACCGCTTGCCATTTAACTCTAAAATGTCTTGAGTTTTTGTTTCCTTCTGTTTAAAAATCGACCTTTCTACAGAAAATAAAATATAATAGTATTTTTTACTTCTTTAAAACCAAAATGAAAACCTTGTTTTGCATGCTCTGCTGTTCTGACTTTTACTGAAAGGAAAAATCTGAGTGTCAAAACTAAAAATTTTCACACCAAGCTGACAGAACATATAAAAAACATGAAATTAACTTTTGCATAAGACTCAGTACCTCTAACAGATCCTTTCCTTTTGGACTCATTTTATATCTGTGTTGCAAACATTCAGTCAGAATAAAGAACGTGTTTGATCCCGTCACTCAGAACTTGTATTTTCAACACAACATGACCTCAACATGACATGAAACATTCTGGATGTTGGAATGACTCATGTGTAGAACCAGGAAGCTGTGAGCTTTATGCACATGGTCCAATCTGAAGACGAGCCACAACACTGCACTAACTGACACAAACAGGACTGAGACCCACTGACCCACAACAAAACCAGAAACAGGCGCAGAACTGAACCATGGCAGAACGCACGGCGAGCAAAAAAGGAGAGGTTGTGCGTGACAATCAAAAAATAAATAACTCAAAACAAAACATGAAGGCAAAGGTTCACCCCAAACAAAAATGGACTAACATGGATGCTGAACTACGACAGAGAGACAGCAGGAGGAGGGGGAGGCTGCAGAAGACGTCAGCAAGACAGAAAGGACCAGAGAGAAGGAGTCAAACAAGACAACATCAAGTCCTGAGCAACACCTGCAAGAAGGCAACAGTAAGAGGAAAGAGCCGAAACAAACACAGGACAGGTGCTACAGGAGCCCACAGCCCGACTGCAAGGGTGCAACTCCAACAACACAGGTCGTTACCTTTGGGTTAACCTAAACAGGTCTGGATTAAACTACACAGGTCTGGATTAAACTACACAGGTCTGGATTCAACTACACAGGTCTGGATTAAACTACACAGGTCTGGATTAAACTACACAGGTCTGGATTCAACTACAGGTCTGGATTAAACTACAGGTCTGGATTAAACTACAAGTCAGGATTAAACTACACAGGTTTGGATTAAACTACAGGTCTGGATTAAACTACAGGTCTGGATTAAACTACATGTCTGGATTAAACTACACAGGTTTGGATTAAACTACACAGGTTAGGATTAAACTACAGGTCTGGATTAAACTACAGGTCTGGATTAAACTACACAGGTTTGGATTAAACTACAGGTCTGGATTAAACTACAGGTCTGGATTAAACTACACAGGTTTGGATTAAACTACACAGGTCTGGATTAAACTACACAGGTCTGGATTAAACTACACAGGTTAGGATTAAACTACAGGTCTGGATTAAACTACAGGTTGGATTAAACTACACAGGTCTGGATTAAACTACACAGGTTTGGATTAAACTACACAGGTCTGGATTAAACTACACAGGTTAGGATTAAACTACAGGTCTGGATTAAACTACAGGTTGGATTAAACTACACAGGTTTGGAGTAAACTACACGTTTGGGTCAAACTACACTCAATTTTTTTTTTTTGGGGGGGGGGGGTTGCAGTCCTGCTCGCATATCTATAAAGGAGCAAATCTGTTGCTCGCATGTTGAACTGTTGCTTTTGTCAGTTGATCTTTGCCCATTTCATTTGTCTCGTGAACACTGTTATAACGTCAATACTCTCATGTTATAACGTCAATACTCTCATGTTATAACGTCAATACTCTCATGTTATAACGTCAATACTCTCATGTTATAACGTCAATACTCTCATGTTATAACG